GGGCCTGCAGCTTGAAGCAGTAACCCCCCCACGTGTCCCCACGACTGGCACCGCAGGCCTGGCCGGCCTGGCCCGCTCCGACTGGGCCTCGACCTCTGGGGCGGCCCGGCACCAGTGCTTCTGCTCTTGGACCTCTGGTCAGGAGGTGGAAGCGTCTGGAGCACACGCCCTCCGCACTGGTTTCTGGTCCCTTTGTACACGCGTGAGTGATTTCTTCAAGATCCAAGTGGCAGAGCGACGGACCCGTCGAGGGAGCTTTGCCGGGTCAAACCGCTGTTCACAGAGGCCCTAAGGCTTGAGGAAGCCCACCCAGGTGGCTCCACGCGGCCCCAGTGCTACGCAAGCTTGCCCCGCGACGCCGGGTACGGATCTGGCAGCAAGGGACCGGGGACTCGCACTCAGGTGGCTTTCTCCAGACCTTGGCACGGGCGGTGGCGGGCCTAGGAACCGGCTGGCGAGCCCCGCAAGGACCCACAGCAGCCCCCGCCCCTCCCACGGGCCCGCAGGCCGGTTCCTCCGCGGAACCCGCGCCGGGTGGATAAACCGCAGAGATGTCAGCCTTCTCAGAAGGGTGCCGATGGCCTGACTTTCCAGATAAAACCGTTAGCGGGGAGCCTGCGTCTCCCTCTGCCTGTGTCTCTGCCTCTCTCTGTGTCTCTCAGGAATAAATAAATAAAACCTTTTTAAAAAAACTTCTTAAATGGTGAAAACCTCCGCCATGTGGTGTAGGCGACTTAGGCGTGCTGTTAGACCCTTGTTCAGTCCTGTTTAAGCCTTGCGGCATGAGGGACCCCCCCACCCCGGTACAGGTGTGGGGAGCACCTCGGGGGGATGTGCCTCGCTGATGCTAGGTGCGGGCACCGCGGGGACCGAACGGGTGCGCCCGGGCCCCAGTGAGCCCGCCCTCCGACCCGCGAGCCGGGGATTCGGGCCAGGATCCCCTGAACCGGCTCACAGCTCGGTGCTAGTCTTCCTGAAAGTGGGTTTTGACTCGGGGCAGTTTACTTTTACCCTAAGCTACTTAGACTTTTAAGCCTCAGCTTTCCCTCCTGCAAAATGGAGAGGGCGCGGGTGCCCGGGGCTGCAGCGAGGTCCAGGGTACGCGCCAGTCCCCTAAAGGTAGTGTTCTAGACCCCAAGGGCCTTGGGCTTTGGGCTTGCTTTGCTTTTTAGCAGCACCTTGTATTTTTTCAGGGCCTTGATGGGTTTTAAGAACCAGAACAAGGGGGACGCCACGCAGGAGAGCAAGTGAGTCACTCCGGCATCTCTAGAACTTCATTTCTGGAGTTGCAGGCAATCCTCACAGGTAATCATTCCCATTTTACAGATGAGGAAAATGAGACTCAGGGGACACAACCTGCAAAATATAGGGTGAGATGCCCTCCGTCAAAGCCCGTTAAAGGAACTTGAAACCAAGTCCAAAGCTGGAAGATGAGCTTTGTGGGGCTAGTCCAGCAGCAACTTCCAAGACGAAACGACCAGAAAAGCAGGGGAGATGACTAACAAATGAGCTGTAGTCTACAGGGTGGCATACTCGGCTCCTGTCAGTGTTCTCCTCGGACGTCAAGGCCTCAGAGACACAGACTTGGAGTCCATCTGATCCATCTCCTACCTGGAAAGGTTTACCTAAGGGCGTCCCCGCGGCGATGACCGGAGGGAGAGCGGAGCGGAGGGAGGTGAAGGAGGTCAGGGTTCAGGGAATGGAGTAACAGCAAGCAAAGCTGACTCCTCAGTAAAGAAAGTAAAAGCGAAGGGACCATTTCTCTGATCCTTGGCCACAAATACAGTCTTTGACCCGAGGGTATACTTTCCAGGAAGCACCAGGAACCACCTGCTCGGGAAGAGGGAGCATAAGGCGTGATCCCGACCAAGAGTGCCCACCGCAGGCCTCGGCGCGAGAGTGAGATTGCTTTGGTTTTCGCGTGGATCCAGACAAGCCACCGGGACAGGTCAGGGAAACGAGACACTTCTGGAGCCCGTTTCCTCGACTGCAAGACGAGATGGTGGCTCTCAGAAGGGCATTCTGGGAACCTTCACCATGTACCGAAGACACCCAGCGAGGTATGTCCAGCCTCTAGGCATCTGGAGCTTCCAGCCTTGAAGGGGAACGTCCGAAGCCACCGCACTGGTGGCTCAGCACGTGCGTAAAGGAGAATGTACTTCCCGAGAAGCGCAAATTCAGGCACGTATGGGATGGAGGGAGGGAAGCTGCCACTGAACCGGACACAGCCAAGAGCCAGTTCATAATCTATCCTGCGTTTTTGTCAATAGTCAGATACAGGAAAAAAGTCCTCAGCTGAGACAGTACAGATTGTTTTAAAAAAAGTAGCTTTAAAAGCAGCTTTCGGACACCCAATTATTTTCACGCATATGCAATTCTTAAAATTATTTCCAGCAAGTTCCTGGACACTCCACCAACATGGAAGAAATGAACCAGGCCATATCTCCGGTTTTGCTCTGCGGTTTTAAGATCTTACCTTCAGAAAAATTTTGCCTCACAAATATTAACCACTTCTTAATAATAAATAGGCATGGCTGTTGATTGACTATCAGTCTTCTAATGGTCACCCCCAACAGTGAACCTCGAAGGCTGTAACTAAAGGTTATTTACACATGTTCAGCACCGGTGACATCCACAAGCTACCAATTTTTGAAACTTTTTTTCTGCTTGTGACTTTGTCTTTAAAGCACAACGCAGTTTCCCTATTTCAGCACAAAACATCTATGACTCAGGTAGATGTGAAATCACTACCCTATTCAGGTCACTTGTTATGAGGTCTCGGTAATTCCCCTGAAACTGCAGGAACAGACAATGTCAAGAGTTCCACTGTTTGCTTTTGATCTTGGGAAAGGTCATGGGAGATAAGAGCCTTGGCACTTCAAAATAGAGAAATACGTATGACTTACTTGTTTTTTTATTTTTTTTGACTTGTTTTAAATAATAACTATTGCATTCCTACCACGCCAGAATCACATTAAAAAAAAAAATCCTGTAATGTTTCAATTAGTAGAGGCTAGCTAC